AAAACTGAATAGGTTCTCCACCTCTTCTGATTAGCTTGGGTAACCATGACATGCTGCTAGGCGTCAACCATGGTTTGTGGAAGCCCTAAAAGTGTATTATCACTAACGGGAGAATTGAAAGTAAGTTTCAATTCACAATCGATTAGAAAGAGTTTTAATCGCCCACTGCCTCGCTAAAAGGAACCTAATGGATCGTTCACCGAGTAAGGTAGAGTTTGAAGAAACAACGGAGATGAGTAAGAATAATTAAATGGTTTAATTATTTATCTAAGGCTAGGATTAATTAATATGTTAATTAATCAAACGAATAAGTTCGTTAAAAACTTCGGGTTAGTTTTGGGCCGCAAGGCCCAATGGGATTTGAATGTCAAGCCCATTAACTCAAGTTGTATGACAACTTGAATAAAAAAAGGGCTTGAAAGCCCAATAAACCCTATAGGCTTGCCATGTTAGAAGAATAGGGCTTTTGGTCCATTAGGTCACTTATTTGAAGGGACTATATAAAGGACTTTATAGCCTAAAATTTACATATGGTAATTTTTGGGGAAAGGATGAGAACAGAAGCTCTCATTTCTCTCTAAAATTTAGGCCACCTTGGAGGGATCATCTAGCAATCAAACTCTTCCAAGGTCACTCATTTCTTCTTCATTATGCCTTGGCGATGAATTATTAGAGGTTCTCAATTTTGGGAACTTGGAGAAACTTTTTCATCCATCCAAATCCATGAATCTAAGATGCAAGGAATGAAGGCCCTCTCTTTGGGTGATTAGCCTTTGCTTATGCAAAGAGGAATCTACAAAGGTATTGATTTTTCAACTCACTTTGTTTTGAGTTGAGTCTTGTTTCACCTATCTACTAGGCTTTGAATTTCATGGGTAAATAATTTGTTTTTAAGTGCATACAAGCATGATTCTGTCTTTAATTGTTAATTGCATGCTATTGATGTTGCTTAAATAAACATGTTTTTCACAAATCTTCCTTCATATCTCTTCAACTTTTTCACGCAGGATCACATTCTCTTTTGGGCTCATCCTGTAATGTGGCAAATTGGGCAAATTGGCCCCAAGGATTAAGTTAATTTAATGTTGGATGTTCCGCATATGTGGTAATTCATTTGGCAGCTCTTCCAAAGGCAAATCATCAAAACCCTGCAGTATTTCCTGCACTTGTGGAGGAACCGATGGAGCCTTAAAAATAGGTTCAGCTACTAGTAAACCTTTCATAACAACCACGGAAATTTGCTTAGTTTCCTTGACTTCTGCTGCTATTGCCCGTTTAGAATTGATTAAGGTAATCAACTTTGGTCCGGCTCTTTTAGTTTCTATAACCAAAGACCGGCCATTGGGAAACATAGTAATCAAATGTGTTCCCCATGTAAATCTGTAAACATTTTCTCTACCTTAGTGTGTGATGTCTCTAGCCCACATCCACGGCCTGCCTAGTAACACATGAGTGACATCCATGTTTACAACATCACAAATTACTTCACTCTTGCAGTATTTTTCGATTGATATGGGAACTTTACAAGTTTCTATTACCTTCTCACTCAGTCCCTTCTTAATCTAACCCACAAGATATGGGTGAGGATGTTTCTCAATTGATAACTGAAAGTGATTTACCAATTTTTGTGACACAAAATTCTCGCAGCTGCCGCCATCTAACACCAATTGGCAAACTTTATCATTAACCGTGCACTTGGATCAGAAAATCTGGTGTCTCCGGGTGTTTTCATTAGGCTTTGAGTATAGGACCTGTTGAAGCATTAGGGCAAGTTCAACCCCTTCCTCCTCATAATCTTCTTCAGTCACACCCCTTTCTACCATCTCTGGCTCTTCTTCCACTAGGGTTATTGTCTTGCGTCCCCTACAAACATTGGTGGCATGCTCAAAGCTACCACAATTGTAGCACTTTTCTCCCATAAACTTGGTACAGGGGTTGTTTATATTATTCGGTCCACGAGAATAATTCTGAAAATAGTTGGAGCTTCGAGGGACGGTTTCTGTTGAATTTTCAGGTGCCTTGGTTTGTTGCTCCCATTCCTTGGCCTTGTCCAAATTGCCTGCATTGTTCGAATCTCGCCAATTCTTTTTGTACCTAGCGAACTGGTTACCCTTTTTTTTTTTTTTTTTTTTTTTTTTTTCCAACAACTTAGCGCTGACAGCTAACTCTTCAGTTTCTGCAGGGGTGTTCACACATTGCAGGCCTATGCGGTCGTGTATATTGGCCTTCAATCTATGAAGATATCTTGCTGTTTTTACGCTGGAGACTCAGTTAGCCGATTCCTTGTAGCAAGATTGAAGAATTCCTGAGAATACTCTTAAATAGAGCGGGTTCCTTTCCATGGTACTTTTCAAACAAAACATGCTCATAGTTGGGAGGCAGAAAACGATCTCTCAACATGGATTGCATTTTACGCCATGACTGTATAGGTCATTTCCCTTGCCAAACATGGGCGGCTTGCTGCTCATCCAACCACACATCTGCACTTCCTTTTAACTTCTAAGCCACAACATTCACCTGTAGTGCTTTTGCAATTTTTGCATAAGTAAAGAACTTCTCACACTCGGACAACCAATCCATAAAGTTTTCGATGGATGTCATCTCATTGAAAGTTGAGATCTTAATTTTCTTCGTTTCTTCTCTGATATTTTCGAGTTGATCCACAACTTCTTCGTCTTTTGAACTAGAATCGACTTCATTAGGAGGACGAGGCCCTCTTATTGCCCGTTCACCACCAGCCACGAGTTGTCGATTTTTATTGTTTCTCATATTGTCCATGTCATTATGCATAGTGAGGTTAGCAATCATCTGTCCTATTTCATCTATACATGCTCGAATTTCATCCGTACTTCCTTACATGCATCCTTCTATGGCAACAAGTTCCTGACTCACGTATGCAAAACTTGTAAGGTTAACTCTGCCATGATCATTCGCCATCGATCATATTAAATCTAGGCTCGGATGCCACTTGACACAATGGAAGTTACAAGAAAAGGGATCACAAAAGGTCACCTTTAGATAAAATTTGGAACACGAGAAGCTTGAGAGAATTAATCTCGATTTTTATTCAATGGAAAATCAAAAGGCCCCTACCAATACGCCAAGAAGGTGTATTTGTAGTCTACAATAAAACAAACTCTAGAAGGGCTAAAAAGGGAAACAAAAATATAAAATAAAAAACTATCAGACTTGGTTGCTGTTGTGCTCTCAGGTTTACGACACTCCAATTGTTTTTCTATCTTTTCCACTAGTTGCTCTACATCACCTCGGCTTGAGGCTTAGGGATATTTAACATGCTCATTCACGTGGGATCCAATTAGTTGATCACATGTGCAAGATCCAAATATCGGCAACAACGTGGAGCTAAAGGAGACTCACCCAATACGCGATGCCAAATAGACCCACCATCATTGCACAGGCCCAAGGAAACCCACCAAATCACGTGGCAGTATAGGCCCGCTCCTTAGTTCTGATACCATATTAAATTATTAGAGAGATGAGCTGAAATGCCTACTTTCAACAACATCGATATGGTCCTCAACTTGGTAATTACCAGCTGCGTAATCTCCATCTAGTACAAGGTTTTATCACAAAAAGCTTCTGTATTAGTTGGAGTACGGTTGGATATTTAAACTTTTCTTTCTTTCTTTCTCTGGCCAATGTTGGATATTCAACACGCCCCCTCACTTGAGACCCAATTAGTGGGTCACACATGGGAGATCCACACATCAGCAACCATATGGAGCCAAATGGGACTCACCCAACATGCAACGCCAAACTGACCCACCATTATTGCATGGGGCCAAGAAGACCCACCCCATTACGGGGCAATACGAGTCTGCTCCCTGGCTCTAATGCCATATTGAATTATCAGAGAGATGGGTCGAAATGCCCACTTTTCAAGTTTTCAACAACACCGATGTTGTCTCTAACTTGTTAATTACCACCTGCACAATCCATCAAGTGTGAAGTTTTATCACAAAAAGCCTCGGTATCAATTGGAGTGGTATTTATATTCTTCTTTTTTTCTTGAGGAAATTGTAGTAATGGTCCCTTAACTTTAATCAAATTGGAGCAATGGTCCCTCAACTAAAAATCCATTACCATTGGTCCCTTAACTTATCAAAATGTGTACCTATAGTCCTTTTCATCAATTTCGTCAAAATTTTGTCAAAATAAGTTATGTTGGAATGACCATTTATACAATTAGGGTCTCTTAACTCATCAAAGTGTGTAATTATGGTCATTTTTGTCAACTACGCCAAAAATTTTGTCAAAACGAGTTGTGTTGGAATGACCATTGCTACAATTGAGTTAAAGTTAAGGGACCATTTTTCCAGTTGAATTAAAATTAAGGGACCAATGGTAATGGATTTTTAGTTGAGAGACCATAGCTGCACATTTGTGTAATTATGGTCATTTTTGTCAACTACGCCAAAAATTTTGTCAAAACGAGTTGTGTTGGAATGACCATTGCTACAATTGGGTTAAAGTTAAGGGACCATTTTTCCAGTTGAATTAAAATTAAGGGACCAATGGTAATGGATTTTTAGTTGAGAGACCATAGTTGCACATTTTGATGAGTTGAGGGACCAATGGTAATGAATTTTTAGTTGAGGGACTATTGCTCCAATTGAGTTAAAGTTAAGGGACCATAGCTACAATTTACTCTTTTTTTCTTTCTCTTACTAATGTGGGATATTCAACATTGAATTCAAGCTGCTCAATATATCCTTTGAGCCTGAAATCCTCCTTGGTCTCATTGGGTAGTTTCTGGGTGGTATGGTCACCTTCTCCATGATTACTGAGTAGTACTTGAATGGGGTTCCTTGGATAATTAGCACATCGCCTTTTGACCAAATTATATTACGGACAAACCAAAGTAAAATTCAGCATGCCGAAACTGTTCGATTTTGTCTCTCTTCATTAGCTAATGTCGGCAGCTCTAGAGCTTTTAAATTCTTCTTCTTAGGTTCTTACCATACGAAGCTATCCAAAAGGTATGTAGTGGTACTACACATTGTACCCAACTTTATGAATCTTCTTTGCCTGAAATCCTCCTCACTTTCCTCAGAGAATTTCTCAAGCATTACATCTTTGACAACTTTGCTTGGCAGCCTCATTGACCGGCCAAACATTTCTTCAATCTGTTCTTGTTGATCACAAGAACCAAGTTGCTTGAACAAACAATTGACTTACATAGGCGTCTTTGACTGAAGAGCTTTTTTTGTCAACTCCTAGAATAAGCGAACTTGTGTAATTACTGGAGCTTTATTAAACAGCTCCGTGAACGTTTTCTTTCTCAAATCTTCCTAGTTTTCCCCTTCAAGACTTTCGATTATAACAGCTTGAGCAGAAATTTTGATATACATTTGTTCAGTCTTGTCTTGCTGGTCCTTGGAGGATAGTAGGCTGGACACATAACTCGAGAGCTGTGAGAGTAGTGCAGCAGCATTTGCAGAATGTTGGGGCTGAAGTACATCCCTTCTGGAAGATGTTTTCGTTGGTGTAGTAGCTTCTTTTCAACTTTGTCTAGGAAGTGAACTTGGACACCAAGTCAATTACTATCTCGCAAAGCACTGTGAATCTTCTGAGTTTGAAATCCGCCTCACTTTCATGTTCGAGTTTCTCAAATATAGCACTTTTAACTCCATGATAGAGTTGTTCAATCAGCTGCAATTGAACCGGGAACTTTGTCCCTTGAACCAAATAATCGAGAAATCCAAGAAAACTCAGCAAATCAAAACTGCCGGTATAGTCCCTACTCCCTAGACAAACGTGTAAATCTTTTGAGCCTAGAATCCTCGTTTGTTTTTTCTTCGGCTGCAACGTCAGCAATTATTCTCATTAGTTGTTATTGATCACAGGCGTCTAGTCTCCTGAACGAAGAAATTAACTCCGCAAACTGCCTTTCACGCTTGAATTTCCTTATAACTTGCGATGGGAAAAAATTCATCTCAGGGAATGGCAGTTTGTTGAATAGCTCTGTGAAGGGTCTGAGTTGGAGATCCTCTTCACTTTCCTTCTGGTGCTGCTCGAGTAGTGTAACAGCTCGATCAACTAGTATGGATTTCTTCCGTCTTCTCTCTTCGACCAATGGCAGAAAGTCGACTGTATGCAAAGATTGAAAGGTGTAACAATGTACTAGTGTTATGGGGCTCATCAGCTACCATTTACTTCCAGACAGACATTATTCAGATGGTTTTCTCTCTTTACATTTGAATGAAAATCTGATGAATGATTAGGTATGTACAAAAAAGCCTTAGCTATATGGTTGTGGATGAATCTCAACCAAACCCAGGGCATAAAAGTTGTTGACTACCAAATATTAACCATCTTAAACCATTCGTCTCATTTTCGCTATGAAATTTCGAGTAATATGTGAGTGGAACAAATTCACATGGTATGTAACCACTCCACATGTTATAATATGAGTAGGCATCATTAATAAACACACAACACAAGGGGATTATAAAGGCCAACCCCAACGGCTAAGGCCTGATGTATGTTATAATGTGCTTGTAAATCTTCATAGGGTTCCCACCACACAGCATATATAATCTCCAGAGTTGACAAACTTACGAGCATAAATAAGAGCATGGTCATCTGGATTATATATGCATGTTAGATTAATCTTGTAACGCAATATAAAGTCAATGATTTGTTGCACAACGTATCAACAAGAAATTATTTGACCGTAAGATTACTTAGCTAGCTAACGTGGTGTCACAAGTTCAACCAGCTTTTTACACTTACATAATTTGCGTAATTACCAGTAAGAACGTAGGAGTCCTACCCCAAGTATTAATCACAGACAATGTAAGGCGTGAAATGATGACACAGAAATTATCCTACTGCATGTAAAAATTCGTCGAATGCTAACAGTATGACCACATTATCGACATCATATTTGCAGTAGTCATTTGAACGATCCTTCCGTGGTGACAGTTGCAAATCATCTATTGTTGACTTGTCCCCTGCCCTCCTTGTGTAATTGCTCCATCTCCACCTCCTCGAGTAGTTGCTCCTCCTCCTCGTAAGTTTGGAATTTTCACCTTGATGAAGTGAGGAGCAAACTGAGGCATTCCATCATATCGGATTTCTTCCTTTTTCTCCTCTTTTTTTGGCTCATAACCTAGATCATGAAATATTGTGCCTTGAATATAATTCACAATATCTTCTTGGGAACTGGAATGAAGCTGCTCAAACAATTCTGTAAATCTTCTGAGCCTGAAGTCCTCCTCGGTCTCATGTTGGAGTTTCTCAATGATGTAATCACCTTCTCCAACATTCGTAAAAAGTACTTGAACGGGATTTTTTGGATTTTTGGCGCATCGTGTTTTGAACCAAATTATTGACAAACCAAAGAAAAATTCAGCATATCGAAACTGTTTGATTTCATCTATCTCTTTGTTACCTGATATCTGCAGCTGTAGGCCTTTTAAATCCCACTTCTTAGCTTCTTTCCACAAGAAGCGATCCAAAAGGAATGTATGTGTAATACACATCTTTATAAATCTTCTGTGCCTAAAATCCTCCTCACTTTCCTCATCAACTTTCTCGAGTATGACATTTTTGGCATCTTCGCTTCTCACTAACCGGCCAAACATTTCTTCAATCTGCTCTTGTTGATCATTAGAACCAAGCTGCCTGAACAGAAGAATTGACTCACACAAGCGTCTTTCACCAAAGAATTTTTTCGTTAACTCCTTGAATAAATTAACTCGCGCTGAGACTGGAGCTTTATTGAACAACTGTGTGAATGTTTTCTTTCTCAAATCTTCCTCGCTTTCTCCTGCAAGTCTATCGATTATAACAACTTCAGCAGAAAATTTATTAGAGATTTGCTTAATCTTGTCCTGTTGGTCATCGATGGATAGTAAGCTGAACCCAAAACTTGAGAGCTTCGAGAGTAATTCAGCAGCACTTGCAGAATCTTGAGGCTGAAGGAGCACCCCGTGCGGAAGATATCTTCGTGGTTGGAGCAGCTTCTGTTCAACTTTGTCAAGGAAATGAACTTGGACACCGAAGTCAACCACTCTCTTACATAGCTCTGTGAATCTTCTGAGTCTGTAATCCGCCTCACTTTCGTCTTCAAGTTTCTCAATTATAGCACCTTTAACTCCATCACAAAGTTGTTCAATCAGCTGCCACTGACCATAGGAGCCTTGTCCCTCGAACCAAATAATCGAGAAACCCAAGAAAAAATCAGCAAAACGGGATTGCCAATCGGAACAAACTTGATCATTACCAGATGTCTCCTGTGTATCTTTTCGTTTCTCAACATATTCTTCCCTGATGGCGACAAGATGCATATAAGCGTAATCGGTGTAATCTCTACACAGCTGTGTAAATCTTTTGAGCCTCAAATCCTCATTGGTAATTGTCTCGTCATCATCTTTAACATGAACCATAACTCCAATCAGCTCTTGCTGATCACTGGCATCTAGTTGAGTACTGTACCAAGAAATCAACTCGCCAATTTGCCGCTCACGCTTGAATTTCTTTGTAACGGTGGACAGGAAATGATTCTGGTCAGGGAAGGGAAGTTTCTTGAATAGCTCAGTGAATGTTCTGACTCTCAAATCCTCTTCACTTTCTTCCGGGAGTTGCTCCACAATGACATCTTCAACAACCTTATTGTACATTTCTTTCGTCTTCTCATGTTGATCACTGGCAGAGAGTTGGCTGAACCCGAAGATCGAAAGATTCAAGAGTAATTCAGCAACATCAGCAGCATCAGTAGAACTGGTATTGGACCCAGGAGAGTGTTTCGGAAATACGAACATTGAAATCGCAGAAACAAATCCCCAGTCGTAACTTATTCCTGAAAGAAGTGCAAAAATAAACCGATAAAAATGGGAATTCAAAATTATATCAAGTCCTTTCTCATGTATAATTATTAAAGGTTCAACTGCATCCAAATACCAAATCAAATTGTTATACTTTCTTTTAGCTTGCATGTAAACCTCATTCCCTAGAGTAGTTGTAGGTCAAAGACTACATAAATCCTCAAATGCAATGACATAAAGTGAAAATATATTGACAAGAAAAAAGAATAAAATGGTAAAGAAAGAAGAGTTTGTAAGAAGTACCGGAATGCTAGTTATTGATTCAGCCTTGTTGAATAGCCCAATGCACTTTATTCCGTGTGTTTGGTTTTGATACAAGAGTTGGAGGGATTGCAGTTTCTTACGAGGACTTATAAAGGGTAAAGAAAGAAAATTCGCGCTTCAGCCGGTCTTCCTCGAAACTGCAAGGAAGCTATCCGCTGTCAGCATTTTGTAAGGATTACGTAAGTGGCTCGAAAAGTTGATAAGAACATAAAATATCCCGACCAGAGGGAACACGCCAGTTGTACAACTCGTCAAATATAACTATTCTGATCTTTAACGAAATATGCTAGCCAAAACCTGCTAATAGTATTAACAGATAGATGTCCTTGTCAGGATGTATACTCTGCCTTGTCCACATCAGCAAGATATTTAGCATGGTGATGAACCAATATTTATACTATATATTTCTTCTTTTTATATTTATCTAATTATCTAGTTTAGTTAGAAGTTTTAAGTATTTGTGTTATTTTTACCATATTTTTATATCACTCATCCAATGCGTATTTCTTTTTCTACAATGGTACTGAAATATTGGTAAACATCCCAACAGTGAGCATACATATTCAAATATCTGCCATTTTAATTGGATCAATATCAATACCACTTTCCACTCCTCTAACTGGTTAGTGCTTTAAAAATACTATAATAGATGTAGGAGCAAGTGTTTTATTTTTATTTTTATTTTTATTTTATTTTTACTATGGCCACTAGTTTAGTGCGCATGTGGACAGTTCCATCAAGGAAAATGTTAGGGCAATGGACGGCCGAGTCCTTCTTAAGGTCCTTATCAGTTTGTTTTTTCTTGTTTTTATATTTTAGGGTCAAGAATGGTGGATGGAAAAGGGAAAAATAAAAGCAAACTTAAGGGAGAGAGAGCAAGACACGGCAAGGTGGAAGAATAAAGAAAAAAGAATAAAAAAAATGAAAATTATGGCCTTTTAAGGGGGGGCATGAGTGGCCTAGCCCTACTAATCCTGGGTTAAATCTGACTTTGTCTTAGGTTTTAGGTTTTAGGTCCAATTCTAAGCTTGGGTTGGATTGGATTTGGAGGGGGAATAAAAGAGGAAAAATAGGTTATAGGCCAGGGTTGGAGATTGTCTTAGCGGGGCAAGACTCTCTGGGACAAATGAACACAAACTTAGGGGGACCAAAAAAAAAAGAAATGGATGCACAGGAAAATTCATCACGTTATGTGCACAATGAAAAAAAGGGTAAAGAGGTTCTCCAAAAAAAAAAAAAAGGGTAAAGAGAGAAAAATCGACCTTCGGTCAGTCTTCTTTGAAACTTCAAGGAAGCATCCGCTATTAGCCCTTTACTTGACAGGAATGGCTGGACATCATGTGAAAAGTAAAGGCAAAAGTAAAGAAGGGAAAAAAAAAAAAAAAAAAAAAAGAATCACAAATGGGCGAGCATCAAATCCTTTGCGTGTGATGGACGAGTGAAAAGGAAGAAACCTCTTAAGTTGTGGTTTTCTAGTGCGCGTCCCACTTAAAATTGGGGCTGTCTGTGACAGACCGTCCCAGAAATATCAAAATCGTACGCATAAAAAGACTATTTTGCCCCTAGTTCGATTTCATCACGTTTATTGGTCGTTTTTGTGTTGTGTTGGCATGTTTTGGGCCACACACTCACACTCCCACACCCCACACCTTCTGTCCCTTTCCCTGTGACTGTCCCGAGCCCTATTTCCCTTCCCATTTCCTTCGAACGTACGGACACACCCACAAACCTATCAAACATCCACAGATCGAGGAAACCAAGCACGTTTTCGAGCTCGTGAGGCTTGTAGGAGTCCAGCTATACAATTTTCAGGTGAGAACTCCATCGTTTTCACGTAGATTCAACGATGTCCGATTTGGGTACTATTCATACACGTGATTTCTCACGTTTTAGGAAATTTCAAGCTGGTAGGAAGCTTGGTGAGGTCCCAAGGAGGCTCGGAGTAGTTCGCTTGAAGGAATTGAACGTCGGGATCACTAGTTTCGAAGTTGGCCGGAGTTGGGTTGTTTTTACAGGTGAGATTTCGTGGTTTTTAACCCTTGAAAGTGGTATGATTGTGTTCCTCTAGTTCTAAGCTTCATTTTGGTACTAATTTTGTGAAATTTGGGTCAAAAATGAAGAAGATATCGAAGTTTAAAAATTTTCCAGTTTTCCGGCGCCGGCGACGGCGCCGGAGAAGGTGACGGAATATTCCATCAAGTCTAACGGAATATTCCTGACGCCGTTGACGGAATCTGTTAAAACTGACCGAATATTCCCTACGGCGTCAGTTGACGCCGTCAGCGTGCCAGGCACGTGCCTGCGCGTGGGGGCCCGTGCGGCGGTGAAAAATTATTTTAAAAATATAGGGATGTTTGTGAGGTTGAGTAGATCCCGTTGGTGTATTCATACACCCTATTTCAGCATTGTATGAGAAGTTATTTTTAAAGGTTGGTTATATGCTTTAAAATTAACGTTTTTATAGTTATTTCGCATATAGATGAGACGTATCCTGAGGACGAGCGTGGTCACTCGAGGCAGGGGGGTTACGACCTTTCCACATACCAGTGAGTGGGCTTTTGGTTTTCCGTATATACCTATATACTTATATTTTCCCAGAAATTGATTTGAATTGTCATTTGCCTTATGCCATGCATTGTATTATCGTTATTTATACATCGTTAGCTGCATTATTAGTTGTATATATATACATATGCATATGCATATTGGGTGCTGCGGACGCACAGATAAGTGCCAGGTAAGTGTTATTCATGTTTATATTCAGTAGTGATTCGAGATGCTTAAATAGCTCATAACTTGCACCCCCGGTGTTAGTGCTCCCGCCCAGAGTAGGGCACAGTCCTTCACGTGATGTTCACCTCCCGCACCACACGCTCAGCTTGGATCCAAGTTAGGTGCACAGTCCTGTCGTACAGACCACATTAGGTGGTTCCGACTCGTAGGTGACCCGCGATTATTCGCACAGCCTTCACGTGATCGTAACACTAGAGCGTTTATATGTATTACACCCAGGCCTGTCGTACAGACCACCCTAGGTGGTTCCGACTCGTGGGCAGGTTTAGTTATTGATATTGAGATTTGAGCTCTAGACTCAGCCGTACAGGTCACGCTAGGTGACTCCGGCTGCCAGACTATATGTTATGGAAATGATTTATACCTGAGCACTTGCATTTCATCCTGAGGTTCCGACATGGCATATTCTTGAGCATGATTGGCATATCTATATTATTATACATATGTTTATTTTCTGGGAAGTATATAGGTTTTACGGCGAGGGGTTAGAATTTAGTTTTTGAAATGGTTTTCAAAAGCTTTGTTTTTGCCCATTCACGCTTTTGTTTTGCGCCCCTCCAGGTTCTAGCGGTCTAGCAGGTTGGGTGGTTTCCCAGAGGGCTTTCCCGGCATTTCTGACAGACGATCACCAGCGTAGGGCCACCTTCGGGTGTATTGTTGTCGCGTCATTTTAGTTTGGACTGCTTTAGGCGTTATGCTCTGAACTTGTGTCTCACTTATGCTAGCACTTATTTCTATTACCTTACGTATGCTAGCTTTCTTTTATTTATTCGTACTTCTTCTATTATTATTTTATTAGCTTCCGCACTGTGCACATGGTTACGTCACTTCCACGTGACGGCCAGCATGCCCTGATCTCGATCGGGGTGTGTCACTGTCTTTTGACTAACTTTGGGTCACCCATTGCTAGTAGATGAATGGTGGCTACCAATTTTAGGGACCTAGTTTCCGGCATACAATGGATGAATTTCTTTATTGAGGCCATCTCCAACTGATTTGGCTAAAGGGTTGAAAATAACCCAAAATGATATGAAAATCATCTCCAACCAAGGACTAAGTCAAAGAGCTTGTGGGCCCCACCTGGCCAAAAAAGAAGAAAAGGGCCAACCACCAAGCCTACCCCAGGCCTGGCCGAACGTTTAAATGCAACGACTAGCCGTTATATTTGAATTTTTTTTTTAAATTTAAAATTTCATTTTTTTCCTATAACTTCCTAAGCCATTAAACAACATTAAATAACATTAAGTAACATTAAACAACATAAAAATTATACAACGTAAAAAATAAAAATAAAAATTTAACAACATTAAACTTAAACAACAGTTTTAAAAACATTTAAGAACATAAAACTTAAACGCCTACTTCATGCTTCTTTTGGCCCAAAGATGTGCAACAAGATCCTATTGTAGGTACCATTTTTTGGATTCAAAGGCAAATTAGGCCTATCATATATTTTTGCACGAGCCCTTATCGACAAGAAATCTGCAAAGTTACTTACACATCAACACATGGCACTCGAAATCCGAGACGTAAAATTAGTGAAATTCCTTCTCGAAAATTATTGGCAATCCATAAATAAAATTATTGAGGTAGTTTAATTTAAGTAACCATATTAATTCAATTAAAATAATAAAATATGTTTGACCATATGGCCCTTTGGCCCCCTCGATTGGAAATGATTTTTTGTCACAAGGCTACGTTTGGCTTATGGCCCTCTGGCCCCTCGGTTAGAGATGGTAAGACATATGGGCCTGCATTGTTCACTAAAACATTAATTTCTTGGAGGGCTATAAGGCTAAAACGAGCTTTCTGATCCTTCTTCGATTGGAGATGGCCTGAGGCTCTAAATTAGAAAGCCACATAGAGGATAGATCCCCCATTACAAGGTTAGATAGGCTGTAATGGTCATGGTCATGCCATTTTATCACTCATAGGCACATGGTAAGGTGTAAGCAAAGTCTCGGCTTGTCATTGACATGAAAAGTTCATGCAACTCGGATAAGTTCTTGAGTCTTTCAATATTTTGCATTTTCCCAAATTATGTCGGTACATAATTACAAAATATGCACCAAGATTATTGATCTACGTACAAATTGATAAGTCCTAAGTTTCTTGCATGCTGCTCATGACAAATGACAAGGCTTTGGTACAACATGATCTCCACATTAACAAGGCGAGGCATAGGTGTTATGGATGTAGATTGATGACTACTGAATCAGGATTACCAAGTCAAACCCAATTAAAAAAGAAAGAAAACAAAGAAATTAATCTACATCCATAACCATAAGATGGATTAATATACTAATTAAATATAGAAAGTCTGAGGGTAGGATGATAAGGAGAGAAGAAGATGGCGCCACGAAATTTCAAAGAAGGTTCAACCCCATAAGGCTCAAATTATTTCATTCAACGTTTACAGATTTCAGTCAGCTGCTAATTCTAATTAAGCAAGGTTTAAGGTTTGTTCTCATTCAACTTTACTTCAAGAGATAATTATTGAGTAACAAATTAATCCTTCCTCTCTATAATTTATAGCTACAATGAACTCGCAACCAAACTCACCAATTGCTAATGGAGGAAGAGATCACGCAGTTATTCCAATTCCAGCGGTTAACCATATTCAGACGACAACATCATTGGATCAAAGAATTAAGGAAACGAAATGGCTGCTGCATCCATCATCTGGAAACTTCTCTTGCTGCATCTTCAGAGTGCCTCAACACCTCTTGGAAATCAACAAGAAGGCCTACCAACCTCATATAGTTTCTATAGGTCCTTACCACTATGGCAACATGCGTTTGGAGATGATGCAGCAGCATAAGTGGAGATTTCTTCGTGATTTACTTGCTCGAACACCATCAAATGGACCGAGACTTGATCACTACAGGCAGGTTGTAGCATCGATGGAAGAAAACATAAGAGGGTGCTATTCGGAGACAATCAATTTAAACAGTCATGATCTAGTTGAGATAATGGTGTTGGATGGTTTGTTTACCGTTGAGCTCTTTTGCAAAGTTGGAAGGTTGTCACCAAGTGATCCAGATGATCCCATCTTTAACTTGGCATGGGTATTTGCTAGCCTCATACGCGATCTTTTTCGTTTAGAAAACCAAATTCCCTTCTTCGTTCTTCAAAAGTTATTCGATGAATCAAAAGCGTCAAGAGAGGAGAGTGAGTCATCCCTTGCCAAACTTGCTTTGGAATTCTTAAATTATGCATTAGAAATACCTGATTTCAGTATTACTGAAGGAAAACATTTACTAGATTTACTTCGCTTGAGTTTTATTCCTAAACCCTATGATCATTCGCTTCAAGATCAAGCTAGAAATGTTAGTCGTCCATTAGTTCAATTGATTCGATCTGCGAAGAAGCCTCTAGAAGGAACAAGGAAGGCAGTGAAAAAATTTGCAGCACGAATCAAGTCCAAGACCAGGAAGGGAAATATTTCTCCATCGATTGAATTTATCCAATCAGCCGGAAAGCTTCACCTAGCTGGAATTAAGTTCAAGACAAGGGATGCAATGAGCTTCTTGGATATAAGATTTCTCAAGGGAGCGCTTGAAATTCCACACATAGTACTAGATGATATACGCACTGACTTATTCATGAATTGTGTAGCATTTGAACAGTGCTACTCTCATTGCTCAAAGCATGTCACCACTTATGCTGCATTCATGAGTTGCCTCATCCGCACGCCTGCAGATGTCTCATTCCTCTGTGACAAAAAGATTATTGAGAATTATCTAGGAACTGATGTGGAGGCTGCTGATTTCTTCAAAAACCTTGGAAAAGACGTGCCTTTTGATATTGATGAGAGTTATCTATGCGAATTGTTCAAGGATGTGAATGAATACCATAGAAATGTTTGGCGTGTACAATGTGCGGGTTTCAGATTCAAGTACTTCTCGACTCCGTGGTCTTTCTTATCCGCTGTAGCTGCTGTTATACTTCTACTGTTTACCGCAGTTCAAGCCTTTTTTGCTTGCTATGCGTATTTCCGTCCCCCAAAATCTGGGGGATAGGCTTAACCATCATATTTCAAAGCATTGTCCTCTAGCTGTTGGATCGGTCATTGCCGACGTCTCTGCGATTTCTTCTTTTTAAGAAAGTTATATAAGTTGCTGAAACGTTTGAACATTGTTACTTGTTTATTTCCATGTAAATCTAGCATATTACTCTCAGTTTTGTGTCAAGCCACCATCTTTGATAATGTGCTGATCTAGGAACAAAGATGTTCGAACATAAGCTTTATTAAGTGAAAATTTAAAAACCGAGATTCCTAGTATATGCAATTCGTCAGGCGGGTCAAGATGTGCCACCGGTCGCCCACCCATATAGACCGGTAAACTGGCCTGTTACATGTTTTGGTGCCAATTACTTCAGCTGACACCAGTTTTTAGTAATTGTTTCTAATTTGATCCCATCGCAAAAATGTTGCTTTTTTTGGGCACAAGATAATCCTAAAAGCTTTGGCCCATTTGGTATCCTACTAAAAAGTTTTCATTAGTTTTAAAAACAGTTTTTATAAAACTCAAAACGTCCTTTGGTATGACACAAAATTAATTTTAAGTCAACAATATTAAAAAGAGAAAGAGTAGAGAGAGGATAAAGAAAAGAGGATCTGAGAGGAAAAGGATAAGAGTGGCAATTCCAAAACATTTTCTATGTTTTTGCGGGGTTTCAACTCTAAATTTGTGACTTTAAAACTCAAGAGTTGAAACTTCACAAGAAACTTGTGTTGATTATTTAAAATTGAAAAAAATAAAAAAATAAAAAAATAAACTCTGGCATGTAAACAGAAAAAACACTAACGTCTGAAAAATATAATTAAACTAATGCAATTTGCTTCATAGAAAGCAATTTAAACATTAAACTAAGAAGACATTTACCTACTATGTACATGAATCATAATCACTATTTTACTTAATTAATTGAAAAGTTTTTATCACGGATGGTTCTTAAAATTGATTCATCCATTAAGATTTTCCTTAAAATTGAAAATCAATCTATGTAATATCTGAAAATGAATGTCACAAATCAATGTGATCCTTTTATCATAATTCCGTAAAAAATTCTGTTACGTGTTGACATAAATGAATTCACAAATTTAATTAAATATTATTATGTAAATTAAAAATATTTAAATAATAAAAAACAAGTTTGTTATAATTAAAAACTTTAAAAATAAAAAATAAGAAAAGAAGAAGATGAATGAACACTGTTCATCATCTTGTTCCCCACCCACACTACAACCCCCAACGCACCCCCTCCCATCCCAATAAGTTGTGGGTATCTTTAGAGTGTCGCCGTTGGACTTGTGGTCGAGTTCCCAAGTCAGTGGAAAAATCCTGGATGTACATGTGGTGGGCATCGGATCCTCCCACCCCGTCCCTCCACCTTCGTGTGGCGATCCTTCGGCGACCTCCTAGCCGGTTTTGGCACCGTAGAAACAGATATCGGAACAATCCCATGGATAGTGTTCAAGAATCTTAGGAAATTTTCAAAAACCAAGAAATCTAATATAAAATCTAACACGGAAATCTGTCGGAGTCATGAATCTGAGAAAATTTTCATGAACCCAGACAAACCCCATATGGAAATACACTAAATCAAGCTAAAAACGAGGATTTCAAAATTTTAAGAACAAGAAATTCAGGAACTTAAAAAATTAAACTTTTTCACGAGAAAGAGTGTTCAGTCATCTTCTTCTTCTTTTGTATTTTAATTTTAATATATTTTTTATTTTTTTAATTCACATATAATATTTAATTAAATTTGTGGGATCCATTTAAGTGCCATGTAATGAAATTTTTTTATGAGATTGTAACGAAAAATCATATTGATTTACGACATTTATTTTTAGAGGTTACGATATTGATTGATTGATTTTCAATTTCAATAACTGTGGGCCAATTTCAGAAACTATTTATAATAAAAATCTTTAATTGAATCAAAAGGTAACATATACTGGAGGAAAAGCCAAAATAAATGCCCAAAACTCTTGGTCATGAGAAATATATTTAATTTTCTGGAGGTTAGTCTATCAGATGAGTATAGGAAGGAGGAGAGGGGAGAGTTGCCGAAAATGGCTCTTTTCAGTTTTAAAGTTGTGTCTACATTCCTTTAATCCGTTGACGAGGTACGTGGAAAGTATGGAAACCGGGGGATCAGCCAAGAACAATGCCGTGTAAAACGTGTAGAGATTATTTGATATAATTTCACCACCAAAAGATTGAGCCTGTGCCGTCTGAGATTGCTTCTCTAGAAAACGCTTAGTCATGAACTGTCATGTTAGAAATGGATTTATTGTGAAACATATTGAAATTGGTTTATTAAAAACTCAAATGCTTCCTAGAAAAGCACTTGGAGCTGTGCTTCACGAAGAAGCATCTAGCATATACTTCTTCAAAAGGTGCTTCTATAAGCCAAAACACTTAATTAGTTTTTCTGCCAAACGCAATTAGAAGCATCCAAAGAATTATATTCTTCTTCATTAATATGTTATTCAATTTAGATAGTCCTTATTTTACTTTCATTTTTTTTTAACAAATAATATTATTTACACTAAGTGTGTGAAGGAGTTGGCTAAGCATCACAATGGGCTAAATTCGAATGCAGTGTTTAAAAGTTTATTTTTTATTGCAGTATCAGTTGCATTGCCCTACGAATTAATTTGTGTGTCCGATGTCACACTTGAACGAACCAGTATGAGGCTTTCTCCCTCAGCCCTCTCAGGCACCAGCACCAGACTCCGTCTAGAGCATGAGCCATGTGGTAGTTGCTCCGTTGAAGTACTACTAACACAGTTTAGATTATTATTTCGTTTTTTTCTTTCTTTATCCAAGCCACTGGCAATCATATGTTCTCATCTACATTTCCATAGAAATAGTTGAAGGTTTCCATGGTCAATACAGAATAGTTTAAGATGGTATTTCGTCTTCTGTCACTTTCTGTATACAATCAGCTTATCGATTATTTTTCCATCTTGTAGGTGCATTTGAAAAGCTTATTCAGTTTAAAGTGTCGTCTATCACTTTTCTTACGAACTGGTACATCTGGCACGCATGAATTTGTTATAGTATATCGAACTCAATTCATATATGCAATTTGCATTCTAGTCTTGTGGACGGTCGTTCCAGACCTGATCTCGATCTATTAAATTTTGTATTTTTTTGTTTATAATCACCGGCCCGGAACCTTCCCAATCTAGTAGCTAAGTTATTATATAAAGAAGGTTAACATATACGTGGCAGATATAACACGGATGACCTTGTGCCCCTTAATTTGTCGTCATATTGGTCAACTCTGGAGATATGTGCTAGCTGTGTGTGTAGTTGCTCTACATGCACGCGCATATGTAACTTACAAATGCAATTTCGCAATTTGCTTCATAAAAAACCAATTTAATTGAACTAAATAAGAAGACATATTCAACTGCAAGAATCCTTCGTCTTTTAAACGAACGGATATGCTATACAAACTGATCATGGGAAATTTCAAGGAGAGTTCATATGAAAGCATTACCCCTTTCTTTTGTAATTGCCCTGGACTCCAAAACGACTTGGTATCAGGCCTCCTTCTGCTGGGGGTGGTCTCTAAAACACCCCATGAGGCATCCGGCCTTAGTTTCAAAGTCAACTTGTTTAGGGTTTTTATCGTAAAATATTGAATCCTTCGATCTGACTGTACATACCTCAGAGACTTGGATCAAATTCTGGCTGTACGTAACTCATACGTGTTAGTCAGCAAAGTGTTATAACAAACAATTCACACTAACAACTCTCTTTTGTACCAACCATCTGGAAACCCTTGCAGAGGAAAACCCAGAAAAGTAAACCCCTCTACATAGTCAAGATGAAGATGAGCCCGATAACAATGTAGATTTTCCCCAGTAACATATTCGTAGTCTATCCACAACATTTTGTACCAAACCTTTGATCACTGGCATATGCTGCTAATTTAGCTTTCTCAAACAATATATATGTATATATGTAAATAGCACAAAGCTTACAGTAACATTACAATTTACAAGCAGCATATAAAAAATGTTACATATGTAAATAGCACAATAAATAGTATCGTATCTCTGTAAATAACACTGAGTATATCTCTCTCTGTAAACATGTTATATATGTAAAATATTATCACCTTAAACGCACTTAAAACCCGCAGCACCACACGAGCACTTTTTGCTAGTAAATACAACAAATGTACAATGACAGTAAATATAAACTGATATACAGAGAAGGATTTATGGGATTGAATTTGATTGAGCAACATTGGTGGCATGATTTGTAATATTCTTGTCAATATATAATTGGTCAATTCAAACTAGTTTACGATCGCGTTTGGTAGGCAACTACTTAAGTTTTATGCCCTTGGTTGACATTCAAGCCACACCTCAATCATTCATCAGCGTCTACTTTATTAATTCGTAGTTAAGTATAGAATTAACAACTATATATATAGCTAAGGCTTTTAATCTTGCGAAGCCATGGTTTGTATGCCCTTGATTGTTCACCCACAGAATCTTTGCAAAGAAATAAAACGAAAGGTCGTGGGTCTTCCCACCCATTAATCGATGTCTCGGTGGAAGAAAGCGGCAGTTATGCCTGATAAGAGTTGTACAGTGCCACGTCTTTCAATATTTGCATTCAGTCGACTCTCTCCCAGCGAGCAAATAGAGAAGACTGAAGAAATCCGTAGTAAACTAGTTGATGGAGCTGTTATAGTACTCGAGCAGCAAGAGAAGGAAAGCGAGGAGGATTTCCAACTCAGAACCTTTACAGAACTATTCAACAAACTTCCTTTCCCCGAGACAAATCTTTTCCTTTCCCTAATTACAAAGAAATTCAAGCGCAAAAGGCAATTTGCGGAGTTGATTTCTTCATTCAGGAAGCTTGACGCCAATGATCAACAGCAACTGATCGGTACAATCGTTGATGTCAAAGCTCATGATGAAGCAGATGATGAGGATTCAAGAGTCAGAAGATCTATAAGGCTTTCTAGAGACTTTGCCGACTATGTTAGTGTATTTGATTTAGCTGGGTTTTGGTTTTCAGAATGCTAAAGAGAAGAGAAAAGAAAAGATAGATGAAGTTGAACCGAAAAGTTTTTTTTTTCTTGTTCACTCATGCAAAAGTCTTGCAGAGGAATAATCTATACTGCACAGAAAAAACGCACTAACACTGCTTTACATTTAACTGATGGCCTTAGCTTTAGGACCACACAAAACACTACTTTTAATCTTAGTCACTCATCAACCTAATTACAAGGATCAAACACCACATGGCACTCATGGCCTTACATCATTTTAACTCGACACTTGGTAGATATGCTCAAATGAATACACACATTAAACTCATCTTATTTCTAATACTCAATCAGCTAGAGACTTATAATTCAACACTCCCCTTTAAGTCTTGAGCTAATTTCACTCCAAGCATGCTCCTGAGATAATTAAACCGATCCTTAGGCAGAGGTTTTGTGAAAATATCAGCTAGTTGCTCATTAGTTGGACAGTACACCAGATCAATGATCCCATCCTTCAGTGCATCCTTGATGAAATGGTATCTTCTGTTAATGTGTTTGGTCTTTTGATGGAACACAGAGTTCTTGGTGATTGCAATTGCTGAGGTGTTGTCACAGTGCACTAGAGTGGCTTCGGTTTGAAATTCACCAAAATCTTCAAGAACAAATCTCAACCAAATGGCTTGAGTAGTTGCTTCTGAAGCACTGATGTACTCTGCTTCTGCAGTGGAAAGAGCTACACAATTTTGCTTCACAGATGCCCATGAGAATACTCCACTGCCAAAGGAGAAAGCATAACCAGAAGTACTTTTACTGTCCTCAATTGATCCACTCCAGTCACTGTCACAGAACCCAATTAACATTGAGTTCTTACCCTTCACATATTCCAGACCATAATCAAGTGTGCCTTTAATGTATCTTAGCACTCTTTTAGCAGTTCCAACATGCTTACTAGTAGGACAGTGCATAAATCTGGCTAACAGACTGGATGCATACATAATATCAGGCTTGGTTGCAGTGAGATATAAGAGACTTCCCACCAAACTTATGTACAACTCTTCACTTGCAGCACCACTTCCATCATCCGTGGTTAACTTCTCAGTTGCAACTAATGGAGTAAGCACAGGTTTGCACTCTTTTAGACCAAATTTGTCTAACAAAGAGCTTGCATATTTCTTTTGGTGGATGAAAATGCTTGAAGTGGTTTGAATTATTCCCATCCAAGAAAATGATGGAGAAGGCCCAAATCAGTCATCTCATACTTTCGTTTCATGTCTTCCTTGAATTCTTCAAGCATTTGTTTGTTGCTCCCAGTATAGATTATGTCATCCACATAGATCGACACAATCAAAATGCCTTTCTCTTCTGCCTTGATGTACAATGTTGGTTCACTTAAACTTCTTGTGAAACCACATTGTGAGAAATATGTATTGATCTCTCCATACCAGGCCCGTGGTGCCTGTTTTAGACCATACAAGGCTTTGTGAAGTTTATATACCCTGTCTTCCTCCCCTTTAGCTACAAAACCATCAGGCTGCTCGACATAAACCTCCTCCTCTAGAACACCATTTAAAAAGGCCGATTTGACATCAAGTTGATAGAGTTTCCAACTCTTTTGTGCAGCCAATGCTATAAGAGTTCTGATTGTATCTAACCGAGCAACAGGAGCAAAAGTCTCATTGTAGTCTATTCCTGGTTTTTGGGCATATCCCTTTGCAACAAGCCTTGCCTTGTTCTTTTGCACAGTTCCATCCAAGTTGAGTTTGGTTTTAAACACCCATTTTACTCCAATTACAGGCTTGTTACTTGGCCTGTCTACTAACTCCCAGGTTGCATTCTTTTCAATCATGGAGAGCTCATCCTTCATAGCATTCATCCAAGATTCATCCTTAACTGCATCTTCAAATTTCTCTGGTTCTATAATGCACAGATTACATTGAGCAAGCACATCATCCAGCTTTCTCCATTTTAATGGAGTATGATCAAATGCCTGAGTGTCACTCACACCTGCACTTGACTGAGAATTGACCTGTGTATCATCAATACCACTTGCAGTGTGACATCCCGTCCCGGAAATATTAAAACGTACATGTGAATTGTCAACTTTGCCCCTAGTTCGTTTTTTTTGACGTAATTAGTTGTTTTGTGTGTGTGGCATGTGTTGGACCACACCCACACCTGCACACACACTGTCTCACTCTCCCTCTACCTCTGTCACTTTCCCTCTCTCTCTTTCTCCCCCCTCCCCAAGTCCTCTATTCTTCTTCTTCTTCCTGCAACGTACGGACACACACACAACTAAACCAAATCATCACAGATCGAAGAAACTAAGGCCATATTCGAGCTCGTGAAGCTCGTGGGAGTACAGCTGTACCATTTCCAGGTGAGAAACCAGTCGTTTTCACGTCGATTTCTTAAGCTCCGATTTGAGTACTGTTCATGCAAATTTAACCTAGCTAGTTTTTGGGATTTTGAAGCTTGTAGTTGTGTTTGTGAGGTTCCCAGGAGCCTCGGAGTGCTTCGTTGGACAAATTTGGACGTCGGGAAAGCTTGGTTCGAAGTTGGCCGATTTTTTAGTTTGAAGACAGGTATGATCGCGTGGTTTTTAGCCTTTAAAAGTAGTCTATCGTGATTCTCCTAGGTCTAAGCTTCATTTAGGTTCAAGAATCATGAAAATTGGTTGAAAAACGAAGGAGAATAGTGAGTTTAAAGTTTTCCCAGTTTTCCGGTGACTGAAGTCCGGCGAGGGTAGGCCAGAGAAGAAACAGGAATATTCCGTTAATTTTAACGGAATATTCCTAACGGCAGTAGCAGTATCCGGTTAAGTTTAACGGAATATTCCGGAGTTTTAACAGAATATTCCTGACGGCGTCAATTGACACCGTCAGTGTGCACGGCAAGTGGCCGCGCGTGGGGGCGCGTAGGTCCGTGCCTATTTTGGCGCGTGGGGGCGCGTGAGAGGTCCAAAAATTATTTTAAAAATATGGTTGTGATCCTGAGGTTGTGTAGAGCACGTTGGTATATTCATTTGTCCATTTTGAGCAATGTATAAGAAGTTATTTTGAACGGAAGGTTATGTGCTTTAAAGTTAACGTTTTTATAGTTAATTCGCATATAGGTGATTCCTATCCCGAGGACGAGCGTGCACACTCGAGGCAGGGGGGCTACGACCCTTCCACATACCAGTGAGTGGGCTTTTGGTTTTCCGTATACCTATATACATATAATTCCCAGAAATTAGTATAAATGCTTATTCGTTATATGCCGTTTCTTTTATATAATTGGTGGTTATGCATGATTAGTTGCATCTACGTTTATTTATAAATTCAGTTATGTGTATGTATATATATTTAATGGTGATGTGGAGGCACAGGTAAGTGCCAGGTAAGCGTTATTTCATATATGCATTCAATAGTGATTAGAGATGCTTAGAGAGCTCATAACCTGCACCCCCGGTGTTAGTGCTCCCGCCCAGAGTAGGGCACAATCCTTCACGTGTTGTTCACCTCCCGCACCACACGCTCAGCTTGGATCCAAGTTAGGTGCACAGTCCTGTCGTACAGACCACTATAGGTGGTTCCGACTCGTAGGTGACCCGCGATTATTCGCACAGTCTTCACGTGATCGTAGCACTAAAGCGTTTATATGTATCGCACCAGGCCTGTCGTACAGACCACTATAGGTGGTTCCGACTCGTGGGCAGGTTTAGCTGTTGAGATTGAGATTTGAGCTCTAGATTCAGCCGTACAGGTCACTTTAGGTGACTCCGGCTGCCAGTGATAAGTTTTGACACGGTTTATACCTAAGCACTTGCATATTATTATGAGGTTTTGAGCATGACGGCATACCTTTGAGCATGATGGCATACCCTTGAGCATATTTGGCATATTTATACCTACGTATATATGTTTATTTTCTGGGAAGTATACAGGTTTTACGGCGAGGGGTTAGAATGTATTTTATGAAATGGTTTTCAAAGAATTTGTTTTTGCCCACTCACGCTTTTGTTTTGCGCCCTTCCAGGTTCTAGTAGCTTAGCGGGTTCGGTGGTTTTCCCAGAGGAAGTCCCGGCATTTATGACAGACACGCACCGATGTAGGGTCACCTTCGGGTGCACTATTGTTGTATCTTTTCCTTGGACTGCTGTAGTCTTTAGGCTCTGAATTCAGCGTCTCACTTACGCTAGCACTTATTTTATCACATTACATATGCTAGTTTTAAATTATTCGTACTTTTATATTATTTCCTTTAGCTTCCGCACTGTGCACATGGCTACGTCACCTCCACGTGACGGCCAGCATGCCCTAATCTCGGTTAGGGTGTGTCATGCAGCTTCTTCCAATATGCCAGGTGATAAACCACTTGAACCTTGAGTGTCATGTTCTGTATTCTCACTTCTTGGTGTATCCACAGTGTCAAACTCATAAGTAGGCAGTGACATATATCTTTCTGTGCTTCTTTCCCAATCCCAAGATGAGTTTTCATCGAACACAACATCTCTTGATAGAATCAGTCTCGTAGAGATTGGATCAAATACTCTATAACCTTTCTCACATTTTGCATATCCAACAAAGACTCCTTTTATACTCTTGGGTTCTAGCCTGTGTCTTAGCTCGGATGGAGTATGAACATAACAAACCGAGCCAAAAACTTTCAAATGAGCAATACCAGGTTTCCTTTTGCTGTAAGCGTCAAAAGGTATTATACTATCCAGTGATTTGGTAGGACATCTGTTTAACAGATAGACAGCAGTATGCACAGCTTCTGCCCACATATAGTAAGGCATTCCTTTGTCATGAAGCATAGACTTGGCCATTTCAATCACAGTTCTGTTTTTTCTTTCAACCACTCCATTTTGTTGTGGAGTGTAAGAGATAGACAGTTGCCTTTGGATTCCCTCTGTGTCACAGTATTGCTTGAATTCATTTGATAAGAACTCCCCTCCTCTATCACTCCTTACACATTTTACCTTCATTCCACTTTGCAACTCAGTCATGGCCTTGAATTTCTGAAAACAAGTAAGAGCTTCAGATTTGAATCTAAGAAAATACACCCATATCATCCTGGTTGCATCATCCACAAGCAACATGAAGTACTTGTTTCCTCCAGTAGACTCGATTCTCATCGGTCCACACAGATCAACATGAACCAATTCAAGTGGAGCACCAGCTCTTTGTGCTTGACCACTAGGAAACCTTTCTCTGTGTTGCTTACCATATTGACAGCCTTCACACACTTTGTCATACTAATCTAGATATGGTAATCCATGAACCATGTCATTATCCTTCAATTTCTTGATCCCCCCAAAGTGTAGGTGGCCTAATTTTCTGTGCCAAGTCAGAGAACAATGAGCAAAACTGGTCTTCAACACAAGTTGTTTCTCAGGCCGTAGAGATAGAGGATAGCACCTGTTTTCTTTCATTTTTACACAGATAATTTGACATTTCAGAGAAGGACCATAAAAAACAGTACACATATGTCCACCAAACATAAGATAATATCCGTGCTCATCCATTTGTCCTATACTTAATAGATTCTCTTTCAAACCAGGTAGGTACATGACTTCTCGAATGTATTTTCTTCCTCTGTTAGTCTCAATTTCCAGTGATCCCATTCCTGCCACATTAACTAACACTCCTGTTGGCATTTGAACTTTCCTTGCAACATTTGTATTCATATCAACAAGAAGATCAACATTTCCTGTCATATGATTACTGCAGCCACTATCTATGTACCAATCTCCATTAACCTTAGTCTCAGCAACTGCACAATTTGCATAAAATAAGTTTCCTGTCACTTCCATTTGACTTGCACAGTTTGCCTTTTGAACAGACTTTCCAAACAGTACACTCTCTAGCCCAATGACCAAATCTATCACAGTTATGGCACTTGGATTTCCCCTTATATCTACATTCACCATAATGAAACTTTGAACACACCTTACACTGAGGTTTTACACCCTCTTGACCCATAATCTGTGAGGAAGTACTATTCTGTGCAACATTTGTGAATGATTTTTGCTGAAACTTTGGTTTCGAATCCCATTTCTTACCCTTTTGATTCCAATTTTTTTGTGGTTTAAAAGTACTAGACTGAGGATAACTTCGATTCTGCCCTTTTGAACTAACAGTAAGAGAAGAAAATGCTCTCTCAGTTACATCTGAGGAATGCAAATCAAACCTCTGCTCTTGACTCTTCAATATAGCTAGTACCTCTTGCAGTTCAACAGATTCTAAACATTTGGTGTTTTCTATCACTAAGCATATAGGATCATATATCTTAGTGAGACTGATTAACACCTTCTGAACTAATCTCTCATTTGACAGAGTTTCACCAAATGTCTTCATTTGATTAATCAAATCATTTAAACGAGTAAGATACCCAGTCAAGGATTCATCATCACACATTCTAGTGTATTCAAACTCTCGTCTAAGATTCTGGAGTTTCACAGATCTTACCTGATCCCCACCGTGATATTCGCCATACAACAGATCCCATGCCATTTTTGCCGAGTCTGCGTTTGCGATTCGAGGGAAAATCTGATCAGAGACTGCGTTTTGAATGATTCCAAGAGCTTTTGGATCTTTCATGAAGATTGCAGCCATTTTCTCATTATCGTCAGCATCAACATCTGTATCTTCATCAGTCTTAGCTTCCTTCTTCTTCGAATCGGAAACTGAAATCCCTTTTTCCACCAGATTCCACAGTCCATATGACTTGAAAATGGTAACCATTTTGATTCTCCAGAACTCGTAGTTCTTATCGGAGAAGATCGGGGTCCTCACTTTAGCACTCCCAGATCCAGCATCGTGAGCTTGTGTGAATCCAGAAACACGTAGTTCTTTAGGTCATAGACAAACTCCGGCAACCTTCACCGAAACCAGAAACGGTGATGTTTGAGCTCACAGAAACACGCCCAGATCTTAATCGAAACCAGGCTCTAAGGCCATGTTAGTGTATTTGATTTAGCTGGGTTTTGGTTTTCAGAATGCTAAACAGAAGAGAAAAGAAAAGATAGATGAAGTTGAACCGAAAAGTTTTTTTTTCTTGTTCACTCATGCAAAAGTCTTGCAGAGGAATAATCTGTACTACACAAAAAAAAACGCACTAACACTGCTTTACATTTAACTGATGGCCTTAGCTTTAGGACCACACAAAACACTACTTTTAATCTTAGTCACTCATCAACCTAATTACAAGGATCAAACACCACATGGCACTCATGGCCTTACATCATTTTAACTCTACACTTGGCAGATATGCTCAAATGAATACACACATTAAACTCATCTTATTTCTAATACTCAATCAGCTAAAGACTTATAATTCAACAGTTTTTGAGCGTCTTGTCACCTGGCAAGATGCTAAGAAATGGAAAGGTCTACCGGAGACATCTGATAATGAAGGCACACATGAAGAAATCAGAGGTAGTGATCAAGAAGTTTGTCCGGATTGGCAATGTCGTTTTGATGAATTTTTCTTTGGTTTCTCAATTATTTGGTTCAAGGGACAAAGCGTGCCTGCTCAAATACATCTGATAGAAGAACTGTCCTATAATCTTGGAGTTAAAGATGGTGATCTAACTTATGAGAAACTCCCCAATGGAAGTGGGGAGGATTTTATCCGACTGACAAGATTCACAGAGCTGTGTAAGAAAGCTATTCACTTTGGTGACTAAGTTAGCGTCTTTAACATAGTTGATAATAAACTACATGAAGGAACAATTCTCCCTCAGAGGAATGTCCATCAGCGGTGAGATAAAGTACTAAGCCAAAAAACATCGCTTCCTGAGAGAATGATCCTTGAGCAGCAAGATTCTGTGGGTGCTGCCGATTTACTCTTGCATCTATCGAGTTTTGGGTTCAGCCTACTATCTGCCAGTAGTCAACGGAAGATGATTCGAAGAATTTCTTATGTCACTAAAGGTGTTGTAACCACAAAATTTGTAGAGGAAATTGAGGAAGGTTTTAGATTGAGAGCATTCACGGTGCTATTTAATGAAGTTTCAATCATAACCCGAATTCATGTATTCAAGGATCTTAGAAAAAAATTCTCCCGTGAAAGAAAGTTATGTGAGCCTATTCTTTTGTTGAGACAACTAAACTCCATTGACCAACAAAATCTGTTCAGACAGCTGTTTGATCGGTTGTTGGAAAGCCCTTCATATGTCAAAAAGGTCATAATCGAGATACTCCCGGAGGAAAGTGAGGAGGATTTCAGATTCAAAAAATTTATAAAGTTGTGTCGGGCATATCCTTTCCTTTGGAAATACTTGGGCCGGCAAGAAGCTGAGAAGTGCAATCGAAAAGGTACACCTCAAACATCGGACAATGAGGAGATACAAGAGATCAAGTAGTCCTGCTTTTCTAAATTTTTCTTTGGTGTGTCAATTATTTGGTTCAAAACAAGATGTGCTGACCACCCAGCGAATCCCATTCAACTACTACTTGCCAGTAGTGTTAAAGAAGATGATTTTATGATTGAGAAAAGCCCCCAAGAGACTGAGGAGAATTTCAGACTTAAGAAGATTCTCAGAGACGTTTAAACAGCTTCAAATCAGTTCCCAAGAGTATATCGTGAAATATATTCAAGATACATTAATTCACGATTTAGGTTATCCCTGGGAAATAACAGATGAGAGCCGCCTGTTCAAGGATAGAATTCGCTTACCTATACCTTGCATGCAAGGGGCTAGGATTGGAAGTACGGTATTTACCAATGAATTCATTAAGGTGAAAACTCCAAATCTAAAAGGAGGTGGTACAACTACTGATCAGGGAGGAGGAGCAACAACTCAAGGAGGAGGTGGAGGAGGAAGGGTGCAGGGAACAAGTCAGCAGTAGCATATTGCTCACATGTGGCTCCTGTGATTCAAAATCCTGCTCATTAAATTGTTACAATCGGATGTCTCGTAAAGTCAAATTCTACCTTCACCAGTGAAACATATCTCATTACACTTGAAGAGTAAACAAAGCAGAAAAATAAAACCACTCGTTATGAATCTCTGGTGTAGTCATAAGAATATTCATCAACTTGCATCATCAGCTGGCATGAGTGTAGACACAACTTTTTGAAATTATCCGTACTCATTTCACTATTTTCTACTGATTTTCTATGTTTGTAATGTCTTCTTGAAAATAATTAATCACTATAGTGGTGTTAATTTGCAAAGTTTCATCCTTTTTTGTAATAATCTATTGCACTCGCAATTGAAGTTGTACGGGTGGGTATTACAAATTTAGTTTGTGGCTCCAATGTTGCATGCCAATGAATCCATTCAATAAACAATTTCAATTCACTCTAACATGGCCTCAAAGCCAGGTTTCGATTAGAACTAGTTGTGCATTGTGAATTCGAACATCACCAGTGTTAGGTTTTCTAGGCTCACTCAGGGTCAGGTGAAGTTCACCTGAGTTTGTTTGTGATTCAAGAACTACGTGTTTCTGAGTACACTCAAGCTCGCAATGGCTGGATATGGGAGTGCTAAATTTCGGACTCCGATCTTCTTCGGTTAAAACTACGAGTTCTGGAGAACCAAAATGGTCACCATTTTCAAGTCTGTTGGAGAAAGGGATTATGATTCCCAATTCGAAGAAGAAGAAGATGAAGACTGAGGAAGACACATACATTGATGATGAAGATGATGAGAAAATGGCGGCAATCTTCATGAAAGATGCAAAAGCCCTTGACATCATTCAAAGTGCAGTTTCCAATCAGATGTTTCCTCGGATTGCAAACGCAAACTTAGCAAAAATGGTGTGAGATTTATTGTATGGAAAATACCATGGTGGTGATCAGGTAAGGTCTGTGAAACTCCAAAATCTTAGGCGAGATTTTGAATACACTAGAATGCGTGGTGATGAATCCTTATCTGGGTATCTTACTCGCTTAAATGACCTGATTAATCAAATGAAGACGTTTGGAGAGACTCTTTTGAACAAGAGATTAGTTCAAAAGGTGCTAATTAGTCTCACTAAGATGCATGATCCTATATGCTTAGTGATAAAAAATACAAAGAGTCTGGAATTTGTTGAATTGCAAGAAGTTGTAGCTATATTAAAGAGTCAAGAGTAGAGGTTTGATTTGCATTCCATTGATGCAACTAAAAGAGCATTTACTTCTGTCACTGTTAATTCAAAGGGACAAAGTCGAGTTAGTGCTCAATCTAGCATGTTCAACTCATAGAGAAATTGAAATCAGAAGGGTAAGAAGAGACTCAAAACCTAAGTTTCAACAAAAGTCAATTACTAATACTGCACACAATGGTACCCATCCTCTAACCATGGGTCAAGAGGGTGTTAAACCTCAGGGCAAAGTGTGTTCCAAATTCCATTATAGTTAATGTAGTTTTAAAGGAAAATCCAAATGTCACAACTGTGATAGATTTGGACATTGGGCCAGAGAATGTTCTGTAGGAAAAGCTATTCATAAAACAAACTGTGTAAATCAAATGGAGGTGACAGTAAATCTGTTTTATGCAAATTATGATGTTGTTGAAACCAAAGTTAATGGGAAATGGTATATAGATAGTAGTTGTAGCAATCATATGACAGGGAATATCAATCTCCTTGTTGATGTGGAAACTAATGTTGCAGAGAAAGTTCAAATGCGAACAGCTCGTTAGTGGATGTGGTAGGAATGAGGTCACTTGCAATTAAAACCAAAAAAATGAAGAAATACATCAAAGAAGTCATGTGCTTACTTGGTTTAAAGGAGAATGTGCTCAGAATTGGACAAATGGATGAACATGGCTACCATCTTGTGTTTGGTGGAAGAAATGTATAGTGTCTTTAATAGTCACTCTCTTGATTGTCAACTTATTAATGTGAAAATAAAGGGGAACCGATGATATCCCCTATGTCTAAGGCCAGAGAAACAACTTATGTTGAAGACCAGTCTTACTTACTGCGCTTGGACCTAGTACAAAAGATTAGGTTATTTGCATTTTGGTGGAATCAAACTGTTGAAGGATAAAGACATGGTTCATGGTCTATCATATCTAGAAAATTATGATGGAGTCTGTAGGTTGTCAATATGGCAAACAACACAGGGAAAGTTTTCCAAGTGATCAAACACAAAGGGCTAGTGCTCTACTTGAATTGGTCCATGTTGACTGTTGTGGGCCAATGAGAAATGAATCTACTGGAGGAAAGAAGTACTTTATGGTGCTTGTGGATGATGCAGCTAGAATGATACGGGTATACTTCATCGTATATAAATCTGATGCTTTCACTTGTTTTAAGAAGTTCAAAGCAATGACTAAGTTACAGAGTAGGTTGAAGGTGAAATGTTTAAGAAGTGATAGAGGATGGGAGTTTCTATCTGCTGAATTCAACCAATTATGTGACACAGAGGGCATTCAAAGACAACTTTCTCTTGCACACACTCCATAGCAAAATGGAGTGGTAGAGAGAAAAAATAGAACAATGGTTAAAATGGCTAAGTCTATGCTACATGATAAAGGGATGCCTTACTATCTGTGGGTAGAAGTTATGCACATTGCAATTTATATTTTGAATCGATGTACAACTAAATCCCTTGATAATATAACCCTATTTGAAGCCTATAGTGAAAGGAAACCAGGTATTGCTCATTTGAAGGTCTTTGGCTCAGTCTGTTATGTTTATACTCCATTTGAGCTAAGGCTTAAACTTGATGCCAAGATATCAAATGAGTTTTTGTTGGATATGCAAAGTGTGAGAAAGGATATAGAATTTTGGATCCAATCTCTAAG